GCCTTTAATCCCAGCACTTTGGAGGCAGAGGCAGGCAGATCTCTGTGAATTCAAGGCCAGCCCCTGGTCTACAGTGAGTTCCAGGCCAGGTGGGGCTACAGGGAGACCCTATTTCAAAAAGACAAAGAAAAAAAAAAAAATCTGAAGTCATTCTGCTAATCTTACAAGAGTCTTAGAAACCTACCAGGGTCCCAAGAGCTACACAAGTTTCAGATTATTCAACAGCTTTCCTTTCCCAAATTTCTTCTGACTTAATTGCCTGAATTATTGAATAGGGAAAGAAAATTAGACATCTCTCCTAATGAGGTTTATAGTTAAGTGACTTAAGACTATAAAACTGGGGCTGGAGAGATGGCTCAGCATTTAAGAACACTGACTGCTTTTCCAGGACACCTGGGTTTGGTGCCCAGCACCCACCTGGAGACTAACAACTGTCCATAACTCCAGTTAGAGGGGATCTAATGCTCACTTTTGGTCTTCATGGGCAATACATGACACAGGCGCCCTTACATACACGTAGGCAAAACACTCATGCACATAAAATAAAAATAAATAAATCAAAAAACTTTTTAAATTTTTTAAATTTATTTTTAATGTATGTGTACAAATGTTTTGCCTGCATGTATATAAGTGCATCCATGCATGGAATGCCTGTGGAGGTTAGATGAGGGTGTCAGATCCCCTGGAACTGGAGTTATGGACAGCTGTTAGTCACTATGTGGGTGCTGGGAACCAAACCCAAATCCTCTGGAAGGGCAGTCAATGATCTTAACTTCTGAGATATCACTCCAGCAGCCTTCCCCCCAACTTTAAAAAAAATAATATAAAACCTTTCAAAGTTCATCATAAGAGTCATTGAACAGCCAGGCATGGTGGTACGTGCCTTTAATTACAGCACTTGTGAGGCTGGATCTCTGCAAGATCTCTATGAGATCTCTGTGAGATCAAGATAAGCCTTGTCTACATAGCAAATTCCAGGCCAGTTGGAGCAAGAGAAGACCCTGTCACAAAACAACCCAAAAGTCACTGAACAAAAGATCAGGCAGTGCCATCATCCTGTCTGAATTTGTCTCCCTAAAATAGTAGCTTCTCATTTCTATAACAAAACCATCTTTAAAAAGTGACAGGGATTCCTGGGAGGGTGGTGAGGGGAGGTGGCAGGGGAGAGTGAGGGGCAGAGATGATCAAGAAACATTGAATACATATGTGAAAATTTTCCAAGAACAAGATTTTTAAAAATGACTATACTTAAAAAAAATGAATATACTTCCAGAAACTCTTAAAACAGGTTACAGAGTTCAAGTACCTTTTAATTCCCATTTCCATAAATGACTCCGATATCACCATTCCAAAGAATAGTCCTTAGACATACAAGGATGTGTGTATGTAAAGAGATACATGAATACATAGGTATTTCTCAAATTTCAGTACTGAGGATCAATGTCTCATTAGGTACATTTGAGAATACAAAGCTTTGGGACAAATCAGATTTTTCTAGTACTTTCCGTGTCACTGACCTGAAGTCACCTTTGTTGTTCACAACCCTCTCTGGTGGACAGTACTGGGCAGAGCTTTCCAACACCACAATATCCACAGTTCTTGTATTGTTCCCACGTTTGGTCTGGACATGACAGCCCCAATTTCCAGTGGATCCAGCCTGAATATTAGAAATGGTTAGGGCACTGCATGAAAAAAAAGATTTTAAAAAGAGAAAATATGATTAGGCAAAAAGGGAGAGATTTCAATTATTTATTTAGCAATTAGATTTGAATACACATTTGAGCCCAGCACTTACTAGGTAAAAAGGTGCAACTACAAAAATGACTCGTCCCTTTAAGTCCTTTAGTGGCTCAAAGAAAGCAAGAGGAGGGGTTCTGAAGAAGCAGCACAGAGGAGAGGAGGGCAGGGCTTTCTGAGCACCAAGGGGAAAGAAGCAACTAGTCCACGGGCAGAAACTGTGATAAGTGTACAAGTCACATCTACCTTTGTAAAGCTTATGAGAAGATACTCATAAAGAAGGCAATCATGAAGTAAATAAAAAGATTTAAAGGAAAGTATTTTATGGAAAAAAAAGTTATACTAAAAACAACCCGGGGCCAGTGAGATGGCTCGGTGGGTAAAGGTACTTGCCACCAAGCCTGATGACCTAAGTTTGATTACTGGAACCCACACAGTAGGAGAGAATCGCCTCCTGAAAGTTGGCCTCTAACCGCTACATGCACACACATGTGCACACGTGCACACACACTAAATAAATGTAAAAACAACCTGATAAATATCTAAAAAGTTTAGTAACTGACCAATTGATGCTTTCCTAAAGGAAGGTTCTATGTAAAGCCATGTCTCTTATAAAAGAGCTATATTTCTACATGACTGTCAGTAAATCTCATTTTCAAAATGAAATGGTAATTCTCTAATATAAAACCTATTAATTAAAGAGCAAAAGTCAAAACCTTCAATTAACCTCTATCCCCATATGATCCACCATGCTTTCCTGTTATGTAGACACAAATGATAAGAAATAATTAGACAGAAAGCATGTATCATCTTAATTAACTTATCAAATTATGCGTAGACGTGAACACACATTTGTCGGCTCTCCTAAATCACCAAGAGCTAGCGTTCTAATAAAGACTGGGAGGCACTGTTGCATTCTGAATCAAAGAAAATGAGTATTATCTTTACTAAGCTAAAAAAAAAAAATCAGTAACTATAAAAAAATATTTTTAATGATAGGTGACCTAAAATAAACAACTTTCATTCTTATATTGAACAAGGGAAGAAATACACAGAAAATTGTGGTGTGAAAATCCTGCCTTAATCCAGAAGTTCAAACTCAGCTCAAGAGCCTTAACTGACTATGTGCCTAATCCTCCCCCCAAAAAGGCCCATTGTAGTACCAATCAGTAAGCTAAAAGCCAGACTTCGTGTGTCTAGCCAGATGTGGCAGTACATGCCTATAATCCCAGCATGGAAGTGGCTAAGGCAGGATGATCATGAGTCCAACTTAGGCTCAAAGCCAACAATAACAACAACCATATGAAAAGATAGTAAAAAAATAACGGAAATTTTACTTTCTCTTAAAGAAACACGATTTTCACTTGGATGTGGGTGCCTGCTGGCTTCTACAAAAATACTCAGACAAATGACACATATTTCTTCCACAGTAATTTTCACATAGTGCTCATGTGGAGCACGTAACTGCCTAAAGTCTCACATTTCAAAGCATGAAGCCATCCAAAAGGATGTGACATGATTCCCTGAGGACACTGCACAGTACCAGCAGCTACTGTATCATGGGTACTAGCAGCCATGTAGTGTCCAAGCAATGTCAAGATCAGCACTCTTCCCTCAAACTATTAAAATTCCCTATAGTACATCTGTGGCTTCAATGCAGGCCCATGTACAGCAATAATGTTACACTAAGTTGTTTTTCTTAGAACTGAATTTTCGTGATACTATAAAGAACTGAGAATAATTTTAGCATGATTGAAGAAATAAGATTTGTAAAGTAAATCTACTTTAGCCATACAACTTATACTTTTAAATTAATCAAACTCTGTATTTAGAGTGTCTTTTAAAGTTTTGTTTTATGATGTCAATTATTGTCTATTTATACAATAAACTCCTTAATAGTGTATAATTTGATGAGTTTTGACATATGTATATGCCTATGCAATTATCACCACAGTAAAAATAATGCAACAATGAATACATCATTTCTTAACAGTTAATGTCACCCCCTAATGAGGGATTTCTGTTTCTGCTAAGACCGAGCCACTCACATTATACCATGCTTCCTGCAGTTGGCAGTCACAGGCTCTGAACAAAGTATTTGGATACTGAAGTACATGCAGAGGGATGAAAAGAAGGCAGACTCTAAAGAAGACAGGAAGGAGGCAGGAGGAAGACACCGGCACCAGGGAATAACCAGGGTACTTTTTAAATCGTGTTTACCCTAGGCTCCACTAAAACAAGAGAAATTCACAATCCTATCAGCCTGTGACAGACGACCAGAGGAGCAAAAAAAGTCCACATTTCTTACACAGACATCCACTCAGTGGCAGAGCATGTGTGAAGGAGTGGATTTACTCTATAGTGACCCCCAAACTATACACACACAGATTTCAGCTACATCTTATCAGAGAAACAGAGCTAGGAATCTGAGTTCAGCCAAGGTAACTGCCTGGACAAACAAAACTTAGTTCTCCTATGAAGAATGCAACAGAACGCAGCAAAATCAAGTCATAAAATATTTTCAAGGGTCACACTGTAAATATGTTAGATTTTTCTAAGAAACAACACAAACATGAAGGTCATTACGTAAATGCCTATATAAACATTTGAACTGTAACTATTTAAAAATGTACGTTTTCAGTCCGGCAGAGTTAGTCCATAACTGGTACGCTTTGCCAATGTTTGCTTCACTGTACACTATAATAATGCAATAGTAATGTCAGGAATTTAACCCAACATTACTAAATATTTTAAACCATAGTGAAAAGTCAGTAATGATGACCCCAAGATGACTCAGATACTGGAGGTGAAAAGCAAGTGTCTCAAAGCATCTCTTCTAAACATTAGATGTAAATGAAAATATGCTTCCAGGAAGAGGTAAGGGGAGTCAGAAAAGAAACTATAGACTGAAAATTCAACCCTTAAAGTGCTCAAACTTAAACCTCAGCTCAAAGAACCTTTACTTTTTAGCAAGTTTACCAAGGCATCTCAGCCTTGGCAGAGCTGGGAAATTACAGCTCTTCTCTAGCAAAAGTTCCAGCCAGGTCCTGGGTAGGTAAGTAGGCAGTGACAGGTCCTGAGTAGGTAGGTAAGTAGGCAGTGACAGGTCCTGGCTAGGTAGGTAAGTAGGCAGTGACAGGTCCTGGCTAGGTAGGTAAGTAGGCAGTGACAGGTCCTGGCTAGGTAGGTAAGTAGGCAGTGACAGGTCCTGGCTAGGTGGGTAAGTAGGCAGTGACAGGTCCTGGCTAGGTAGGTAAGTAGACAGTGACAAAGGAAGGAGGGAAAGGAGGGCACAGCACCAAAATAAAGTATCCCAAAAGTGAGAACACAGATTTAAGCCCATTTTCATACTTGATAGTTCATTCAACTCAATCATGGGGTTAAAGTTCAGATGTTATTCTCTTACACTAGCCATAAGTGGGGAGAGAAAGTATCTTAAAATATAGTTTTAATCACAAGACAAAACAGGGAAAGTGTGATAATTCCTAAAAGAGAAAATAAAAGTTTAGTAGCAGAAATGGTTAGCAATTTAGGTTTGGCACTAAAAGTTTACATTTTCCTCTTAACACCTAAAGAAAAAGACTTCAACTTTAAGTGCTTCCCTTTTATATTCAGTTTTTTCTTCCAAAACTAGATGGAAACATGGCTAATTAATTTTAAAAGTGAGTAACTACCAGTTAAAAGAAATGTTCTACTCGGTGTATTTTTGAATACAAGAAGAAAAACTATGAACCCAAATGTCAACCCACAGCTCCAAAGTGATGACTGAAACCCAGAGCCAATGTACCTGGCAATCAAGGAGCAGTTCTGAATCATGTTCTTCTCCACAAAGATCCCTTGGGACTCATCGGTTTCAACAATGCGCCCATCCTGATACCACAGCACCTGCATGTCTTGGTCTATATAGGAAGCCATGCACTGGAAGGGAAGACTATCACCTTCAAACACGACCTGGCGGTGAGACGGAGTCATGTAGAAGGATGGCAGCTCGAGGGGAGGATCTAGAGACGGTGGAACGAAGGCAAACCATTTCACACACTGCCAATTATAAGCTACCACAAATTGATAAAAACAGAACCACAAACATTCCCCAGTAACCAGAGTTCCAATGCTGGTCCCAACATGATTGCTGAGTCAAGTGATGGTTTGGGTCTCCCCGCATCTCAGGGTTCATGTCTTGGGAACCTGGTGTCCAATGTGGCAGTGTGGAAGGTGAAGAAACCTTTAAGAGGATGGTTCTCCCAGGAGGGTCTCGAGTCATTGGGATGCTGCCCTCAGAAGAGAAGGCTGGTCTCCTGGAATGAGTGTCAGGAGTGAGCTGGTACAGCAGCTAGAGCTGACCCCTAACTTGCTCTGTGCCTGCCCATCTTGGAATGTCATCTCTTGACCCACACACACTCCTACCATGACTCCATCGCCATGAGGCCTTCACCAGAGGCCAAAACAATGGAGCAGCCCAGGCCTCAATTTCAACTTCCCAAACTGTGAATTAAATGAAATCTCTTTTCTCTGTTACCCAGTTTTGCATATTGTGTTGTAATAACAAAACCAGAGTAACACAAATGGGTCACAGATTAGAGCAGTTAAAAATGAAACCATCGCACACTCATTTCTGACATCTGAATGATTCCTTTTCAGTGGTATCACAGCACTGTCAGAAGACCACAGAAGTAAACAAAAGGAACAAACCATAAACAATGCTTAGATCTAGAGACAGTAAGTAGCGGTGAATGAATGTCCATACTTACCATTTTAAAATGGTACCATTTTGAAGATCATATTACCTGGGATTAAAACACTTCTTGTCTATTACAAAATTATGCATATTGTTCAGAAAATGTAAAATATTTAAAGAAAAAAAAAGAAAATTATTTTAAGTTACCTTACTTCATAATCACCAGTTAAAAGATATAATTCCTTCCAGTTGGAAAAATAAAAGGGAAATATTTTAAATGTACACCCAAAAATGTCCACAAATATCACTGGTTCATTAAAATCCTTTAAAATGTTCAGTGCATTTGTCTACCACAACAAAGCTATATTCAGTAGTGCTGTATAGAATAATCACAACTATACAAATCACTGCATTACTTATGGAGTGAGAAATTACTAACAAACTAAATATGCAGCAATAAGAAAGCTGTTAAATTAGAGTTACATCTACACAATGCATCAGTGTCTTCTACTATTTCAACTTTTTAAGTTACATTGGGAATAATGACTTTTTATCAAATACAGAAAAAAGGTGGAAAAGTTAAAACATTAAGGTCTCAACACTAGCTTTCTGAATAATACGAATACAGACATGGATTTGTTCTTTAACTTGGAGATTTTCATTTCATTTTCTAAGTCTTAATTTTCATTTAAACCACATATTTTACTTGTGAAATAACAATACTACTGGTAATAGAAGGGGGGAGTTAGATGGTTTATGTCATGTCTTTTATAGAGGATATTTTATTGTTTTATACAGGGTAACTGTGCTCTTTCTTCAAAAATCATGATGTTCAATAACTGCATGTTACTTTATTGAATGAATGTGTCCAAAGTAATTAAACTCATCTCCATTTTTAGGAACTTAAGTATATGTGTATATATAAAGTATCTATAATTTACAGGCGATGAATTCCTTTGAATTGAATCTAAGATACAGAACCAGCAGTTAAAACTGTTACCAATCGCTTACCAACACTGACACACACTGCTGAACTATACTTCAAATTAGCCATCATGTGGCTGGGGTATAACATGGTGGTAAGACACTTGCTTAGTATATGTAAGGCGAGTTTGATCCCCAACATGGCCAAACACAAACTAATACAATGACCAAGAAGGCAATGTTGAGTCACACATCTACAGATAAATGGTGCGAGACCATTCCAAGATTTTACTGCTCTCAACGAATTCCCAGGTAGCCCGTTTAAAGAATATCTAAACACCTTTGCTAGTCTCTGAAACTGCTATTCATAAAGAAAGCCTGTCAGAACCAAGAACAGCTACCTTAAAAACCAATCCAAGAAATGCTTTCTAACTATTGGCATAAACTTGATATTCTAAAATTCTTCTAGATTAATGGTTGTGCTGCAGTTCTGTCAAAAGAATTTTATAGTTTGTCAAGAAAAGCATGGTAGCAAGTTAAAAATACAATAAATATTTCCTCAGTTTTGATTTCTCCCTTACCGCATGTCAAGAGTTCCTGCTTCACCCCTGTGACTGGCTGGGCCTGCAGTGACTTAGGATAAACACACCTGGTGTCCCGCACAGTGATGTTCCTCTCCTTTACCCAGCGATGCATCCACAGTATGTTACAGTCACACAAAAGATACTCAGTCTGAAATTCTCTGAAACACATAAATTGGGATTACAATGACTAGCACTGTGTGGCAACTGGGCTCTGTACCGATTGGCCTTTTTGTTGTAAGTGTACTTTTCGTTGTGAAGTCCAAGACCCTCCACCCTACCTATGGCACTATGGTATAGTCCCCTTTCCAATGCCCTGTCTTTCAGAGGGCTGGACCCCCGCAACACCTCACACTGATCCTGGAACTGCTTCTGATCAAAACTGACATACAAAAACAAAACAAAACACTGTCAGACATCCTTCTTATCCCTCTGCTATGCACCGAATTTCCTCACCCTGGGGATCTAGAAGATCAACTCCCCACCACTCTATCAGGCCTTTGCCTATTACTGTAAAGCACATGACAATCTTTGGGGATCTTGAAGCCTTCCCCAATTTTACAGTATCATTGCCATGTTCTTAGGCTGAACACCACCATCTCTGCTGTTCACTCTGGCAATGAACTAGCAACATAAAAGAAGACAGGACTATTCTGTGGTTATATTCTGGCCACACTATAAGGTCCTCAAAGGCTGAGACCGTGTTGTGACACTTTTTTCCTATGTGCCTTGACACATGATGTAAGAGTAAGATTCTACACCACCAAAATGAAAAGAAAACAGAGACTGTCTATTAGACAGAACACTTCAATGCCTTGGGTTCTTCTAAGAAACAAAGATACACATACAGAGCATGGATTAGCCCATTCATCTCACACTCCTTTCACTAAGCACTGACTTTTCTTAAAACGTGCATTACCTTAAATCCAGCTGGTAAAACTACTACAAGAGACCGCCCCTTCCAGCAGAGTGGATATTGTGTAATAGGAGAAACAAGGTGTCAACATAACTGAAATAGTATGGAATGTGTTCCATAAAAATAAATCACCAAAGCACAAAGAGCAAACGAAGAATAGTAGGCACACTTCTAATAAAGACTTTGCTGGCACAGGGGTCAGCCCACTAGTTTTGGAGGAAAAAAAGGTGGGGGATAGAGTAGAACAAAGAGGTAATAGTTTAAAACAGCATCAAAAAATAGCTTGACGAACTTCTACTTCCCAGGTTCCTGAGACTGAGAACTCAAAGGTCAGGCTCCGTTGTGTCATCTTATTTAAGATCAGGGAAGAGCTGGAGTGTGGTGGTAGAGTGCTTGTCCAGCAAGTGTGAAGCCCAGGTTTAAGCCCTAGCACGGGGGTGACGAGGTCACTATACATGAACAGACGCTTCGTAGAGAAAAAATATTTCCTGCAGAAATGACTCAACCCAATAAATTACATAAAATCAAATTTGAAAATCTGATAGACAATTTAACTCTAATTCTAATAGAAACCAGTATAATTTATAGGGTGAAATGGACTAATGCTTATCTGGAAACACAGTTAATTTTTAAAAGTATCTACTGTGCAATCTCTCTGAGATGAAAATGAAATCTGTAGTTACAGAGAACTGTATGAATGAGACATTACATTGATGTCATAAGGCAGGACTTTTCAGGCACGGCCCTAGGAACCAGTAACAAGCTGTGACGTCAGTGTGGAACAGAGAATGTGGGATAAAATAAAATCCTAATGTAGCAAACAGTCCTCACCATCAATTCTTCATAGGGAGGATGGTCTATATTTGGGGGATTTAATTAGTCAACTACAAACACTTCTCCTGATCTAAACAGGAAAGTCAATTATAGACAGTTACCATTGGCTTATTTCCTCTGAATGCAGCTGGGAGAGACACAGTATTGTGAGGAGGTGGCCATCCTACCTCAAACACATTGCTGAGATGGACTGTTTATCAGGGTGAATGGCAACTCCCCAGAAAGGTCTAATTTTTGCAAAATCACAAGATGTTTGTAATGAAATCTCTTAAACCCCATAATCACTATTTTTTTTTTATTTTAAAAATTGAATATATTTTAAATAGGACCAAGAATTCTTACTTACAAAGACCGTAATGAGCCAAGATAATCAAAAGTTCCTTGAGACAATGAAGAAAACAAATTTCCTGAAAGGTTTCTAGGGGAGAGAAAAAAAAAAAGAAGAAAATAGCTTCACTTTTAGAAAATACTTAGTCACATATCACTACTTCTATTATGTCATGTTTTCCCAAATAGCTTATGATCAGAACAAAATGTAGGAAAAGATTCACAAAAGCTGACTGAACAGAAGGGGTGACAGGTAAATGCCTCCTGAGGCTACAGAACGGCATTCTTTTTTTTTAACATTTATTTTTTCAAATTATTTTATGTGTCTGAGTGTACTGCCTGCATGTATGTAAATGCACCCATGCTGTGCAATGCCCATGGACATCAGAAGAAGGCATCAGATCCCCTGGAACTGGAGTTACTGATGGTTGTTAGCTGCCATGTGGGTGCTGGGAATCGAACCCAGGTCCTCTGCAAGAGCAGTCAGTGCTCTTAACTGCTGAGCTATGTCTCCAGCCCAAAACTGATATTCTTTTTTTTAAAAAAAAAACTAGAGAAAAGGTTTAAAAATACATTACTGCTAAAAGAGAATTTTCTAACCAATATCAGGGGAGTCTAAAGGATATCTCACTGACTCCCCACTAGAAGGCCTGCTCATGAGTCTTGGGATGGTTCAGAAAAACAGCAAGTGACCATTGAAAAACGAGAATGCCTGTCATGGTGAGCAGTAACAACACACCAAAACTGAAGGAAAAGCATAAGCAGACTGCAGTAAGCCCAGGGACTAGGGGCAGAAATACAGCTCTGGCCTGTACCCTCTACCTGTTTAACAACATAAATACCCTTCTACATTATGTGCTTGTGTGTGGGTGCATTGTGAAGTAATGCATTACAGGTCCCTAATCTGAAAATCTGAAATTCAAAGTGTTCCAAAATCCAAAACACTTTGAGCACTGACACGACGGCACCATGGAAAATTTTACACCATGGAACTCTGTTTCATGCAATAAATTATTTTAACAGTATGTAAGACTACCTCCAGGTCTGATTACGAGGTGATTATGAAACATAAATGAATTTTATGTTTACATTTAGGTCCTACCTCCACAGCACCTCACATTATACATGTAAGCTATCCTTAAACACTTTGGTGATTCTCAACCCATCTTCCATTCTGAGGACACTAATTCTCCAGGATTCAATTGGAGGTCTTGTCTCTGTGGCCTCTGTAACATCTACAGTGGCTACTTTAACAGGAAAGATTTCATTAGTGTTCATAAGCACTTGGGTACTGGTTCAAATCCCTTACATCTTAATAGGAACAAGAAGATACTTACAGCCGAACCAGATTGGTGAGTCCTCGAAATATGTCTGCGTTTAGACATCCTATTCGGTTGTTCGTCAGGTCCCTAAGGAAAAAGGGGGAAAACGTGTCTTCAATTAGTTCTCGTAATTAATAAAGGTCTGGTAGACTAAAAATATAAGAACAGCAGTCCGGTATCATGCAAGGCCTTTCTTTTCTGCATCCTCCCTTGAGTGAGATGAAAACAACACTAAGAAAATGGTTTTCAGTTTCACTCACTTCTAGCACACACATCAGATGCTCCTTAACTGTATTTCAATCACTTACGCCTACAGAATGACTCAACATAAACTGAGACATAAAGTAAGACTCACTATAGCTTACTGTCTGCAATACAACTCCTGAGCTGACCTACACAGTTAATCCAGGCAGGGCAACTTCAGACCTGAGTCCAATCTTGGCCATCAAATAATAGACAATAGGTGAAAGGATGTGACAGCAACATGGTGACACTTTATTCTGTTAAGAACACCAGAAACTTAATGCATTCTAACTTCATCCCTTAAATACTCAGAAGTTTTTATTGTAATGGGAAAAAACTGAATTAGTATTTATGTTCCAGTTCTATCATTCAGTCTCAAGCCAAGTGACCAACAATTTCTAGGTAGCAGTCCAATTATTCTATCAATCCTCACTTTTAACTTCTGACTCCCAGCATGTGTTGCTTTCTAAATATTTTTCTTTTCATCGATCTACAAAATTCCTTCCTTTTATTTATGCATCTGAATTCAATTTTTATTATGACTGTGCGGTGAGCACATGTGTGCGTGTGTGCCACAGTGAGGTTAGAGGACAACTTTCAGGAGCTGGTTCTCTCCTACCATTGGCTCTGGGGACTGAACTCGGATCACAAGATTTACGCAACAAGCACTAGGATCTAAATGGAAATTTCATGTCCTGAGATAAGAGTCAACAATTTCTGTAACTTTCAACTGAAAAGGCATGCATTTCACCTTTGTTCATTAGTGGAATTACCAACCGCCAAAAAAAAAAAAAAAACCCTACATGGAATCATTGCTTTTAATAGCTGTTAGATATTGAATAACTCAATACACTTTGAATTTTAATACAGAAATTAGAACAATTTTTCAAAAACTACTTTGATATTACTTTGGTATTTTCTTCAGTGTCTAGATTGTTCTGGCATGGAGAAATATGTGTTATACTTTTAGTTATGCTAGCGAAGGTATTTAAAGTATCCATTTCCAAACAAGAGCTGGTAGATTCCAAACTGCACCCTTGGGAAGGGCAGAAAACACATTACTTTGACTATAAATTAGAGCACAGCATTTGAACCAGGTACCTACTCATTTGGATTTTCCCTTCTGCATTTCAGAAGCTTACCTTACCTAGTGCTACAGGATCTTTTAGCTCTGGCTTCTCTCTCTTATGGCAACTTTTCTAGAAGAATCTTAAGCCACACAAATCTTGGTTCTGCGTTTGTTGTAATTGCTCAAGCTCCCCAGAATATTAAAACTAAGTATTTAATCATATGGGACTTTTTCCCCCAGTAGACTTTCCTTTTATTTCTAGGTGTTACTGTTTAACACAACGAGGCATCGCCTTGTGAGGTGATACTTAAACGATTGCTTCTGGGTCTTGTTCATTATCCTGTCTTACTTCTAAGCTTTAAGTGATGTAATTACTATTGACTCTTCGGGAAACGACTTCATTACAGCTATACCTACTTAAAACAGAATTTAGGTATTGACAATGAGTTTCCATTTGGATTGAGAATCAGCTTAAATTCGTTGGTAAAGCAGAAAAGAAACTGGATGCTCTGGCTTTCATCTACTTCTGGTAGTTTATTTTCCAAAAGCTACTTAATCTCTCTGACTCAAATGATCTATAACTAGAGACAGAGGCATGGTACATTTAGAAAACACTTCATGTGTGGCCATTGAAATGAACAACTTAAGGCCCTGTAAGAAAGAGTACCATGATCTATAAGCAACTAGCAAACATTAACTACTAACTGCATGGATAATCATTACATCCCACTGAGTCTACACAGAGGACTGTGTCAGCTTGTAGGGTGTATACCATAAGAGCCTAAGTCACATGTGAAAGTCACCCTTTCCCTAACCCATTCCCCATGTTGTATAACATATATATTAACACACTTGTCTATTTTCCCTCACTAGTCTGTCTTTTGTTATAGAAGTCCAGGCCAAAAACTTGGAGGGTCAGTGCTCCATCACTGTCTTACTTCCCCTCAAGAGTCTGTGAGTTCAGGGGCTGGAGAGACGGCTCAGTGGTTAAGAACACTGACTGTTCTTGCAGAAGACCCGGGGTTGAATCCCAGCACCCATATGGCAGCTAACAACTGTCTGTAACTCCAGTTCCTGGGGATCTGACAGCCTCTTCTGTGTTCTGTAGGCATTGCATGACACGGGTGTACTTACCTATATGCAGGCATACCACTCATACACATAAAATAAAAATAATAATTTTTTTTTTTTAAGTCTGTGAGTTCCTTCAGCATCATGAGCATCCAGAGCCCAACAAATGTCTTTAGAAAGAACTCAGGATGGTTAGGAAGTCTATGCAGCTTTAACTCCATCACTTCTCAACTGTGAAAAACTGTGGAGGGAGTTCAGCTTTGGCAGTAATAAAACCTACTTTTTAGGCTTTGAAATAAATACAACAGAGATAAAACAAACATGAAAATGTCAAAACTTTACATCATTAATAGGAAGCAGCCTGAATTTCTGACACTGAGAACAGGTGGAACTTGAGTCAGTAGGTAAGTCTGCAGAGCTGACAAGGGAATGATTCTGTCGGGCTGAGAAGGGCGTGCCCGCCTACCACCCAACAAAGCATGCTGCTAGAAAAATTAAGTCTTCTCTGTTCTATCAGGGACCTGGTCAGATGAGCCTCAACAAACTGTTAACTACCTCTTTCATCATATTAAAGTTCACAGCCAGTTATGTAAGGAAAAGTTCAACTCAGAAGCAAGCAAATCAAAACTCACAATCTTTTTAGCGATGACAGTCCCCAAAAAGCACCTGGGTCTATACTACTAATAAGATTGTTCCGGAGGTCCCTGTTAAAAATAAAATAGAAGTTACTCACACTATTAATGTCTTATGAAATATTCCACATTACACTTACCTGCCATAGAGAAAACAAAAGTAACAATTAGAACAGGAGAAAAAGCACAGCCCAAAAAGTTAAACCAAGATATTCCCAACAAGTGACAGAGTCAGAATTAAAGTTTGACAAATCTGACCTCAAGGCCTTTGTTTCATCAGCAAAAGCCGTTAAAGGTACATGTGTCCTACTACTAGTCAAACTCAAAGTTACCACTAAATCCAATCACATACATTATCTTTTTTCCTCTTATCATTTTCATGTATGTGTGGTGTACATGTGTATATGTAAGCATGTTTGTATATGTGTGGGTGCACATGTATGTGTGCACATACACGCAGAGGTCCGAGGTTGGTGTCAGGAATCATCCTTGAAAACGCCTCCATCTTATTCAGGGATGCAGGGTGTCTCAGTCAAGTGCAGTACTTTCCAGCACGGCTAGTCTTGCCAGCCAGTCTGTTCAGAGATCTCCTTCTATCTTCCTGAGGCTGGAATTATAATCAGTTATCATGCCTACCCAGCATTTACCTGGTTCTGGGCTACAAAGTCTCCTCCTCACTCTAGCAAACCAAGGGCTTTAACCACTGAGGCATTTTCTCAGCCCCACATGTCCATTATGTCTATAATGTCTGCCTCAGCACACCACACCTCGGTTATTAAGTACACTTACGGTTGTGTTTAATATAAACAACAATAAATTGAATTTTTCCAAAAATATCTTTAAAATATGCACTCTGAAATACACGCCATTTGGTCTTTCATATTTTCCCCTCCCTTGGAGTCTATGGTTTGGTTTTCTATAAAATGAGGTTATTAATAAGCACATTATAAATCACAATGCATAGCCTAAAGCTAAAATCTAAGGACATGGGAGGCCTGTAACTCCTGGCATTTTATCCTTCTCAAGAGCACTGATATGTTCATGCCAGTACCTAACCACAGGGAGGTAACAGTGAGTGTCACAGGCATGTCCCACAAGGGGGTCTGGGCACCAGGCCAAAGCTGCCGCTACCCTATGATCTGAGGCTCGGATCAGAACTCTGAAGACTTTCCAAACTGGGGAAATGGGCAGCAGGATCCAACCTTAGCGGAAGAACTACTGTCAGCTGATCACTGCTGAGTGAGGAAGAGTTGATGTCGATCTTCTTTAAGGGGGTGACAGTAGACAGGCTGAACAGGCTCTGGTGGATAAACTCACAGCTGGCTACAGAAACTTGACTTGACAGGCCTTCACATATATGATAGAATACGTGAAATTCTGTGGGTGGCTATGGGGGGGATGGGGGAGGGGAAGAGAGTCTAAATATGATTAAGAGGTATTGTATGAAATACACAGAAACTCAATTACAGACAAAAAGAAAAAAAAAAAAAAGTGTGAAGAGCCCTCTGCAGGGAGCCCACTGCCTCCGTCCATTTCCTGATACCACATTCCTACACACAGCTAGCCCACACTGCAGTTATGCAGGGTGCCCTGGGTAAGCCTGTGCGTCAGGACCCCACTCACAGCCTCGTCCACTGAGTGAAAGTGCCCTCCAGCCATCTGTGGGGGAGATGGATGTCAGAAAACACAACTCCCCCCCAGATGTTCTTTCCTCCAAGTGTGTCTCTACCTTAGGGTGGCCGGCTTGCCCCTCCCTCAGTCACACTGAGCTTCCTCTACCTCTTCCTCATCACACATGGCTTGGGGACATACACACTGATGGCCAAACAACACAGATGCAGAGGAATGCTCATGCAGTCGGGATAGCAGGTACCTTCAGGTCCCTTCCATTAAGGGCCATTCTGGAAGTGTATCCTGAACTTTAGCAATACCTGTTACTACATCTTGGCTGTGGTAACCTATATCCTGGGGTTTTAAGAACTGTGGCTCTACCATGAACAGTTTGGGCCCCACTCAGGAAGTCTAGATGACTTAGTAACCCTCAGGCAGCCTTTGCAAAGCCACTTGATGAATGCAAAATTCATCAAGCATCCATTCTCCACCCACATTTAAGAAACAGACTCCAAAGAAGTCTTACTGAGGTTGAACAGTCTTGGGTTTCTTCCATCCCATCTGAGAAGCAGGTTCAACACTGCTGTCCTACCAGCTAATAAAAACAAACTGCAGTGTGGTCTGAGTCACACATACTTTTCTTCCTTATTTTCTTCTAACAGAGTAGTCTAGCAGTCTAGCTACCAGTGTAGCACAAAATACAACACTGCAGCCGATTTCTGGAAAGGGCTCCTCGAAAATTCACAAGTAAATTTTGGTGAGGTTGGTCTCTACTCAGTGGTAGTTATTCACACCATAAGCTTGACATTCCTGATGCACCATCAATAGTATGGTTTCCCACGCTGCCCGTGCTGGTGTCGAGGAGGCCTACACATACTGAACAGCACTCCAGCTCTCTTCTGTGAATCCTGTCAATGCTGTGGCCTCCAGCAAGTTCTGGTCCATTTCCTCATGTGCTGCGGTTCGAATAGGAAACGTCAACCACAGGCTCATGGGTTAGATGTTTGGTCACCAGCTGGTGGTGCTAATTTTGGAGGTTGTGGAATGTTCAAGAGGAGGAACCTAGCTGGAGAAAGTGGGTCATGAGGCATGGGACTTTTGGATCATATCTGACCCCCAGGCCTCTTTCTCAGTTTCCAGTCGGCCATGATGTGAGCTGCTCTGTCACCCCCACCCAAGCATGGGCTGAAACCTCTAAAACAGAGCAGAATAAATCTTACCTCCTATAAACTCCCACTCAGAATGATGACAAAAATCTGGCCAGGTTCTTGATATCAACAAGTGTGTGGGATTTAAGCACATCTTTCAGGCAGTAGAAATTTACTAAAGGAACTAAATAAATTTATACCCAGAGTAATTGAAATTGATAAGCAGACATGCCAAAAAGTTGGTCATCATTCAAACAAGGTGCTGGAGTTCAGTCTTTCAACCACTCTGGGTGTTTGAAAGAGGAAGTTGAGAAGTAACTTATTATACATGCTAATAAGATCCCAAGTCTTGCAGCTCTCATCGTCCCCAGTGGCATTACCCACACTCAGATTCATACTACACAGCCTGCACTTGAATCCTTGCCCCTCTCAGCCATTCTCCAAGTGATCTTTCTAAATGCAGTCTTCATCGTGTCTCTGTTAGAACTTTCAAAAACTCCCATCTTCCCAGAAAATAAAATGTCAGTCTTTAAAAAAATTGACAAGGATACCCATGACTCTGACCTGCCCGTCTTCTGTACCTCAACCCTCAATCCCCATTCTACACAACACCTTCCTCATTGTCCTCACTCAGCCCTCCCAGCCCTCCCACCCTGACACCGCTCACATTCTGAGATGTGGTTAGAAAGGCTCTTTTCCAGGTGAGGAGTGTAGCTCAGTGGGAGAAAGCTTGTCTCCAGGTGCTGGTTTCCATCACCATCACCACAAAAAGAAAAAAAAAAAAAAACAAGAATCACATTCTCTCAACTCAATGAGGTTACCCATGAGGCTCCCTATCCTTACCATGTGTCCCTCCCCATCCCATGACCTCACCCCCACTTCTCTAGCACAGCAAACATTCACAGGAGTCCTATAAGTACCATTCCTTCCTCTAGCACAGTAACCCTGAGTGTATGAGGCCTTTCCTGCAGACTCTGTCACAGCATACTCTGGTTGCTTATACTGTCTTCCCCAGGAGACTACAAGTCCCACAAGACCAGGGTCTACTGTGCTCCAGGGAAGGGAGACACTCATCTACAGTGGATAAGTAGGTAGACAAATAAGTGGATGAAAAAAATAAACCAAAGCTGAGAGCCAAAATTACATTAACGAACCTTAACTGTACATATTTTAGTCAACTAGGGGAAGCTATAAAATCTCCCAGATTTTCACAAAGTCAGACAGTGTAGAGAATGCGGCATCTCACATACCAACATCCCTCAGTAACAACAGTGTCATGATGTATGTAACTGACCTCCAGTTATTCTTCAAATGAATAGGTAATACATGGGCACATTCTAAGATGGGGGTGGGGGTAACTATTAATAGTTAAGAAATTGTTGAATATAAGTAAGTAAATCGGTGATTTTGGAGATAATATTGCCCTTTCAATTTCTCAGTAGCATGCAAGTTTTTATGATAAAATTTTCTCTTTGTTCCCAACTTAAAAACTACAACTTTGTAAGTTCATGAGGTCCTAAGCCCCAGGAAGTCAGCAGCCCTAGCATACTGGAACCTATCTCCCCACTTTCCAAATGACCACAACCCTACACCTCAAAGAGATAAGATGATGTAATGAAAATATCCAATCCATACATTTTTGCCTTATTTTTCATGAGCCAAAAAACTCTGTAAACAAATATACAATGTCAGTTCTATTTTTTTAAAGCATAAGTTTCCCTCCTCAGATTTTAAAGATTCTGGGAGAGGAACTGATTTTGTTAAAGCAGTTCATAAATCTGGGGCCAATGATGAACTGCATGTGTTTCCACAAAATACCTCTCATGAATAACTGAGCACTGTAATATGATTTAAAGATACACTT